AGATATTGCTTAGGTAGCTGCAACACATTGTTATGACTTATGAGTAAATATTCTTGAGTACCCTATGCTTAAGATTTGTTCCTTAGCTTGCACTACAATAAAATTTTTCTTGGCCCTCTAAAGATATTCATTAGAATAATGTAATGGCAGTAGTTAATCAAATTTATAGGAAATTGTATTAGACTGGCTCCTGAAACGGTCCATGATAATTATATATACTGGATACCTTGAGTTTGTAACGAAGAATGTACGAGCAATGACAATAGTAGCAATTTGGTCATTCCTGCCTATAAAATAAATTAGTGAAGGAGAGCTCATTTAAGCCGGCAATGTAAAACACAAGATATAATTATAGCTGAAGCATTTCAAATTGCTATCAACTTTAGTCATGCATATATAGGATGTTCTTCATGCCTCAGAGTCATTAGCTCATTAACACAGTCTTTCATTTGCATTATCAAGATACTATGATAGATTTAGATTGACTGTGGGAAATTATTTCTTATCATGAGGCAGTTAAGATTCTAAATATTTAACGGGTTTGAAGTTTGGCCTTTTCTTTAAAAATTGGAAAATAGCCAAGATTAATCAATCACCAATTCAGTAAAGTATCCCACTGTAGCCTAAGGTATTATGCTTCAAAGTTACATGCAATCTCCTGTATAAACTGCTTTGATTACGAAACACCGCTATAGTGACAAGACTGACAACACCGGGATTTGTATCTACTACGAATCTATTACCAATATGTACTACAGATGATTTAGAGAGAAAGAGAGAGAGAGGAGGAGGATAGAGACTGTACAACTTGTGCAAGTCTTGACAATTAGACTCACCAGATAACTCATGATGCGTTGATGCCAGGCCAGTCTTCTTCCTGATACACTTCAGCTGCCTCAGCCTAGCCTGCCTGACTCACACTTCCTTCCTTTCAAAACTGAAAAGAGGAGGAGGTCAAGTGTGTGGGTGTTCAGGTTCGTTTGTAATAGAAAAATTAACTCCTCTACACATCCAATTGTTTCAAAAATAGGCAGCCTGGGAGAGAATCTTCCTCTTTTATAAATTTTTCTGATTTGTATACATGTTCTTACATTGCGTAAAAAATTTGAGCTGATTTAGATCAAATTTAGATTTTTAACGGATTTTTAAAGTCTCTAAAAATCAGGCCAAAGTCCTATACAGTGTCATGGACCAAATTTTGCTGAAATTGAAAAGGAGAGAATTTTTTGCTTTAATACTGTTTCTTGATACATATAGATCTACATGTTCTTATGTTGTGTAGATGCCATAGAAAGTTTGAGGTGATTCTGATCAAATTAAAATTTTTTAATAATTATTTTGATTACTTTAATGTATAATAATAATACTAGATCTAATATCATTTCTAAAGCTTACATGTTATATCTGTATGCATATTGTCGTTGGATATGTTACACTAATCACTAAAATATTTTTAAATGACTAAAATATTTTTAAATCCACAACTATTTTTAACAATAGTTAGTTCACTAAAATGTTAAGATCCTAATGTCAATTATCAATTGATATCTGGCATGTCTTCATCTTCTTCTTCTTCCACTTTTAGTTTCTTGGCATTATATTGTCTAAATAGTAGATGGAAGATATGGGTAATAGCATAGATTGGTAATAGCTAGTAGCCAACATAACGGTTTGTGCTGATAATACTCAATCTACTCATTTTCATTTACCTTGTATCAGTTTCTGCCAATTTTCGCTTACTTCTCTCAGCACCTGCAGAGACATATGATGTTTGACCTAATTGTGGTTAATAATAATTCAATTATTACTTCTTATATTATTAACTGATGTATTATGACTTATAAGTAGGCATTTATGCACACCAGTTAAGAGCCATTGCCATAGATTCTTAGGAATAATTGGAATAATAAGTTTATAAATTTATAACTTACCTATATATGCCAGAAGGTCAGATTTTGCTTTGCCCAGTTGATCAGGAAAGTCATCACACAGTTTTATTAATGTATCCCAATTGACATCTCTATCAGCATTAAACCACCTCTGGAATACCAAATTAAGATTGGTATCTGCTGTTCCTGGTATTGGCTTCAGATCAGACACATTTACATGCAATCCATCCCCTATTGTCATGTAGTGGGCAGCAGAAGAACCAAATATCTTTATGACTGCTGCCTTAGTAAGCTCCTTGTCTATAGCAATAAGATGGGATATAATGTTGTTAGATTATTTATCATGTAAATTGTCAAAATTAACACTTATCAAATTAAAAAACTAATGCTGAGCAGAAGAATCAAATACTTCTATGACTGCTGTCATATTAAGCTCTTTGTCTATATTAAATCGACATACACAGGAAAAAATGAAATTACAATAGTTGTAAAAGATGGGTTATATGTACAACTTTTCACTACTCTACCATTAGCTGTTGTTTACCTGTTATAGTACCAGGATTATGTTTAGCATCTCTTAATTCTCCAAGTGTTTCTCTGTAAATACAACAAAAATACCTTATTATAATATAGTGTAAAAAATATTTACTTTGGATTTGTTTTTTCTCTTTTAATACTTTTTGCTTTGTCTCCTAAAAATGATGAATACTATCGAGTTATTTGACAAATTAGATATAAATATAAATATAGATCTAAAAACTGAAGTAGACTAGCCACATGCATATGTATATAAATATGATTTGTTAGTGTACACGTATAAGTATGTACTGATGTCATGCATAAATTTAAGCATTTGAAGATTGATAACTGTTATGATTTACATGTACATATACACACTATGTTACATGCAGGACCCAATACAGTAATATAGTACATACATTATACAAATTAAGTAAGCTAAATGTATTATAATTCCAGTAGTGACTTACCTGCTGAGCTACAGTCAAACCAGCACCAGTAACTCTCATCACTTTCACTAATTTTCTTTGAGTTACATGTTGATGAGCAATTTGCTACCCGTTTATACAAGTACTTCTCATCCACAATACAATAGCACTGCTTTATCCCTTTGGGGCAAGGGAATGCACTCACATAATTTTTTTCAGCATGTATAACATCAGAACTTTTATTAATAGCTGTTTCAATCAGCTTTTGAACTTGTGGACAGTTAGGACCATCGAAATAGACTTCAATGTGTTCATAGCGATTGATGATGTAAAGTGTGTAACGTTCTCCCTCAACATAGATCCAAAGTAAAAAGGCATCACGATATTTAGGGCGAGGAGGAAATTTAGGTTCATAATTTTTCTGTTCAAGCAAATCTAGCAAATGGATGTAAATTAAAGGAAAAATTCCTTGAGGAACAAGAATAAAGTTTTTGGATTTCGATTCTCCTTCCCACCACACATAATAAAGAGGCTTTGTAGTCACATGAGTAATATCATAGTTATTATTGTAGGTAGGTAAAGCAGAAGGAAGGAAGTAGTATTTATCTCCATTTTGAGCCTGGCTTTTGATAATATGTAGATGTTCAAGGAGGTCAATGAAGTATTCTGAAGTAAAAGAATCTGAAAATATGCCTGTAAACCTTTCAAGAAGCTCTTTTGTAAAAAGGCCTTTTTTTATAAGACAGTCCATCTCTGACTGTTCAATATCTTTTGCCAGTGATTGTGCTGTTGGATAGTCAACATAAGTGAGAGCTAACAAATGGGAAAGAACATTGAGGATTTTCTGAGGGTCAACAAATACTAATTGTGGCTCAATATCAGGTTGGTATAAAATAATTGTGCTATCATGAAGAAACTTTAGAGCTGTATCAACATCACCTTTCATGTACGAAAAAATTTTTGGATCTTTAATAACTTCGTCCTTAGTAACAAAACCTTTGCCTTTTGCCTTTTCTTCCAAGTAAAGCTCAAACACAAAGCAACGCATTGGGGCTTCAATTTCAATGGTGACCTCTGTACATTTTGACATTATCTTTAAAATTTTTTCACTTATTTTCTTTCTTCTAACTGGATTTTGTTGCATTGTATCAACTGGATATATTACAGAGTTTCCATGTACTTTAGAAATGATACGTTTTGTTAAATGAGGCAATATGTTTTCTGGGGACATTAATTTCTTACTCATGTCCTTGACCATTTCCTCAGCTTTTTCTGTGCCTTTTTCTTTGATCAGTACATCATAGTGAGTACCCAGAACAAAAGACATTGAGTGTTTAGGCTTATTATGCTCACCATCTTTTTTTTTCTTCATGAATGGAATATCAAGTTGTTTCTGAACTGATGCTGATGAAACAACAGAATTGAAAATCTTACAATTTGAATATTTCATTCCCCTGTCACATTCAAATTCTTCTCCATCAAATCGATACATAAACTCAAACTCCTCATCAATGCCTTTTGAAATATCAAGTGTAATGACGTTAAGAGTAGCTGCTCTAGTAAACACAGGCAATAGCTCTTGGTATGCTGGTTGACCACCAGAATCAACAATGTACACCCACTTCTCACTTAACTTCAGAGCTTTTGCTTTAGAAGAATGAAGAACAATTTTCTTTAAAAAGTTTTCAAAGTCACTGTTATCCTCTAGTGTTTCTTTTTGCTTACTTTCTTTGGAATTTTCTAGTTTTTCTGGATCAGAAGATGAATGCTTTGAATCGGGTTCTGAATCAGTATGCTCTTCATTCTGAGAATCAGAATGTTCTGTATGTGTCTCTTTTAATTCTTCCTTTTTTATATCATCCTTAGCAGCATTATCTTCTACAGCTTCATTTAAACTGTATGCTAATTGCTCCAACAATTCCTTTGCAGTAATTTTGTTCCATGTCTCTTTACCATCAAAAGCTATTCTAAGAGCCTTGACAGCTTTACAAGCTATTGGTGTACTGTCAGTGGTATGTTTAGAGACTAGAGTGAGGCCAGAATCAGCAGGTGGTGAGTTAGTGACAGATGGGGCATTGGTGTGTGGATCAGAAGAAGTAGATGAATCAGAAGAACTAGCAGATTTTAAAGGTGGAGGTGGTTCATTTAGTAGAAGACATTGTGCACACGTTTTCCCAGATCCAGCAGGACCAATCATGAGTACACGAGTAAGAGTCAGTGTCATAATACCTTCTTTACACCACTGCTCTGGAATACCTATTGCAATACACCACATGATATTATTAATTGAAAGCAACATTAAATAAATTCTAATTATTGGCTTAATTTCTGACCATGCAAGACTCATTCATTAGCTATTGACAAAATACCTGATTTAATGAGATCTTCAACAGAATCTTTTTCAGATGTTTTTTCATCTGCAAAAAAGTTTTAATAATGGCAATAGTAATACATTGTAAATGTTCATAATAAGTAACCAAAAATGTCATAAAAATTTTTAAGATTCCAAATAGTTTCTGCTTGTTTTGTAGCATCAAATTTCTTGATTTACTGTAAGCTTTGACCTTTTCATGATTATAATAGTTTTAGAGATTATCGCTATATTGTATTTTGTATTTGTGCATCATATGCAATCAGGCAACCTCAGGCTATTATATTGCAGCTGCACCTAGTACTGCAACAAGGCATGAGTACATCATGAACAATATGCAGGCTGATGATTATCAATACTTCAGTATTATTTTAGTAATTATTATTTAGTATTAATGACATTACTAGTAGGCCTATTATTCTAACATACTTTGATTGGCACTCCTGTGCTACCAAGTGGTTCTCTATAAACACAAGAACATTACAATAAATTGTTTATTATAGTAAGAGGGTATTATTTACTCTAAATCAGTCTCTTCTATTCCAGTACCAGTTGCTCCTTTGTCTGCTATAGAAATGAGATAATAAGATCAAGTGATTGTGGAATATTTTATCATCTCTTGTGTCTTTTGTTATTATGTTTTAATCTTACCTTCTTGAGTGGACTGATCACTTTGCTCTGGAATCCCAAACTCTATAAAAACATTTTGTATGTAAAGCAAAAATAAGAAAACTCAATTTTTTAAATTGAAGAAAATACCTTTGGCAATTTTTGTTCCAAGGTGCTTATGATCTATTGCTCTTACAGCATCATACAGCCACCTTGCACTAGCTTTAACTCCTTCATCATACACTTCAGTATTTCCTCTCAGCCAATCAGCAACAACATCATTTAGTCCATCCCATGCTGAGTTGTTTCTGTTATTGTAGGCTATGGTGTCTATTGTACCCTGAGGGATACGGAATTGTATAGCCAGTTCTTTATATTTTGGAGCTATATCTTTGTCAATGAGTCCCATAATGGTACCATGATCACCTTTATATAAAACAAAGAGTTTTAGTGCCAGCTGTATAAATTAGAGTTATTTTACTTTTAGTTAGTTCTCTTTTAACAAAAGGATCTTGTGAGAGAAAGACAGCAGACAGTAAACTTGACAATAATTTAATTGTTACCTGCACTGGTACTTAAGCTACTTGCTGAATGAGATGCTAGCGAGGGATCATCACTGATTGATGTGTCTTCAATTGATCCTATTTTATAGTACACTATATTTAATTTATCAGCTCCTGTAACTCACTAAGGTTAAATCTTGCTTTGCCCAGTTCATCAGGATAATCATCACACAGTTTTATTAATGTATCCCAATTGACATCTCTATCAGCATCAAACCACCTCTGGAATACCAAATGAAGTTTGGTACTTGTTGCTCCTGGTATTTGCATCAAATCAGCTGTATTAACACCCAATCCATTCCCTATTAGCATGTAATGGTGAGCAGAAGAAACGAATATCTTTATGACTGCTGCCATATTAAGCTCCTTTTCTATGAGAAATAATTATATTTAATTTAGATAATAAATACATGATCATACCTCCTGTACATTGATGTACTTGTAACTGATCATTAATAGTTTGTAATATATTGATCTCTTCTCTTTTAGTCAATGCATTGAGTACATCTCTCCATGTTGCTCTAGGATTCTTTTGAAGCCATTGAGAGAAGAGGGCTCCTTTGCTTTGTTCAGCATCAATTGCAAAGTCTTCAATTGTTGTAATATCTTGTTGTGTTACTCCAGGTAAGAGAAGACCAAATGATTGCCAGTCAACAAGTGGTTGAAGCCATTGAAGTAATAGAAAAATATCAGGTTGATCATCAATCATAGGACCAGGATTGAGTTCAACATCTCCTGATAAGAGGAGGAGCATACGTAGACAAACAATCAAATAGAGATCATTGTAAATCAGGTTAGAACTGCTGCCTCCAGCTAAGACTACTGACTGGAGGTAATTTGTATCAGTAACAGTAACACCAGTAGTACATTGTACTTGGTAGCAGTTACCTAATAATAAAATACCAGTAAATATACAAGTACAAAGTTGCAATTGTTGTTTACCTGTTGGAGGAATCATCAAGATGTGTCTTAATAAAGAGAGAGAGTGAAAAAGGAGGAGGAGGAAAGAAATATAAGACAGAACTGCTGGCAGTTTAGATGTCTTCTGCTCTCCTGATGTAGTACTGCCTGACTTGCTGTCTACTGCAGCTTTGAATGAGTGAGAGTGGTGGCCATTAGCTGGTCTACTGGAGGCAGCTTGACAGTAGTTCCACAGTCCAATACTTGCTCTCCATTGAGAGACATCAATCATCTTGTATCAATTGTATGTAAAGGGCAGCACTGAAACTTTTGAAAGAAACAAGCGTAACAGTGTAAAAATAATTCCTATAATTGATTTCACCACCTTGCATGCATAGCTAGGCACTTATTAAGACTTATAGAGGTTCTCTCTACCTGCAAATGCTTCTAGAAAAGTTGTTAGACAGTATCTCTATGTTCTCTGGCTGTTAGAAAGCTCATAACTTTGTCCCGTGTGTAAGCCGCCATTTTGTTTTCCGTGGCCACACCCACTTACGTAAAGAAGCGTGGGCGGGTGGTTGCTAAGGCTTGTTATTTCTCCAATACAACATGTATAGAAGAAATGTAAGTGTGGACATACAAATATATATATATAGATAGCGCGACGGTGAAATCAATTATAGGAACGACCTGGGGGCTTCGCCCCCAGGTCGTTAAAAACTTTAAGCTTTTGGGCAGCTGCATACATGATCATGTGATGCATCTGCTATGTGGGTGTTGGGGATTTTCCCTGTTGAGGCTGTTAACATGTGCATGTGTACATGTATATCTGATGTAACCATGAATTTAACTGTGATGTAATTAACAATTAATTATTATTTAAATTCAACTAATTTTATGGAATGTTTAAAAGCCATTTAGTTAATATTCCAATTCTATTTGTGTGTGGTCTATGAATACGATAAGCAATATAGTGTCCCTCACTCCAGTGCCACTCATAGTACAAGTATAGAGACCACTGTCAGCCACTTTAACTGATGCTATAGTGAGGTTGCTCTGTACAGCTGGACTAGTAGAAGGACTGCCACGTTGAGACATAAACTGAGTGTGACACCA